TCCTTCTAAAGATAACAGAATTACCTCCACAAGTTTTTTTTGTTTTTGAGAGAGAGTCTCACTTTATCCCTTGGTAGAGTGCCGTGGCCTCACAGCTCACAGCAACCTCCAACTCTTGGACTTAAGCAATCTCCTGTCTCAGCCTTCAGAGTAGGTGGGACTGCAGGCACCCGCCACAACGACCCAGCTATTTTTTGTTGCAGTCATCACTGTTGTTTTAGCTGACAGGGTCCGGGTTCTAACCTGCCACCCTCGGCATATGGGGCCAGCACCCTACTCACTGAACCACAGGTGCCGCCCAACCTCCACAGGTTTTTTCAGCTCTTAAACTCTGTGACTTTGACAAAGGACTAAGGGAAATTAAGAGAATAACAAAAACATATCCTACCACATGTGCTCCAGATCTTCCCCCTCCTGTTATCCTATCCACTAATCTCACACATCAGCTGTGTCTTTAATGACATCTGAAAATGTTCAAATCACAGCCTTAAAAATATCTGAAACAAACACCACTCTTTCCAGCCACTATTTTCTCTCTCCAATCATTCATAATCTCCCTTCTTGACTTTTCATATGTTCTCATCTGCCATTCTCTCTTCAATAGAATCCAATCCTGCCTTTCCTCCTATTATTTCTTTAAATTGTCCTACAATGACTGATGTCTTCCTGTTGCTAAAGCAAACTGCATCCTTGAGTCCCAAATAAGTACATTTCTTATACTTTCTCAGCCTCCTTTGGTAGTATCTTCTCCTAAGTTTTAAACATTGGAGTTCTTCAGAGCTATAACAGCTCTCTATTCAGTATATACTCCTTGGCTGCTATCATCTATTCACACAGCTTTCATCTACATGCCTGCGACCCCTACATTTATATTTGCATCCAAAACCTCTCCTCTGAGCATCCAACTTATACTTCACTGCTCACCCCAAGGATGCAGGCTAATGGAGGCTCCACTATTTTATTGACGTACCATCTGGAATACGTGGTGCCCCAGTCACTGTGGCTGGGGAAGAAAGACTGGATCACACAACAAATAGCTTTCCACTGTCTCTGGCTGGAGAAGTGAAATAACATTTTTCACTCTCTCCTTTGTTTCATAGGTCCTGCCCAACTCCAATGGTGCTGGGAAATGTAGCCTTTAACTGCCACAATCTAAGTGGATGTAATTGTTGTAATAATCCATAGAAAGGAAAATAATTCATCAAAGAGAGTGTCACTAGGGCCAAAATAGATGGGGCTACAAGGGTATTCTACTTATCTTGCACCATCATAGGAAATCTGGGATAAATAATCAGGAGACCAAGTGCCAAGTTGTGAGGTAACATGTGATAGTTTTCAGACTGAGGACCCACTACTGACTGAAGAAGCAGCCAATCCTAAGTGGGAAGAAAATTGCAATACCATAGCAAACATACTCAGAAATGATTTTCCTACTTCTTCCCCAAGAGTCATTTACTTGGTAGCTGTTCCAGTAAACAATCATCCTGATTTGCCCAAAATTGAGGGGCTTCACGGACTATGGGGCTTTTGTTTGAAATTAGAAAAGTCCTGAGCATACTGAGGTGAGTTAGTCACCTTAGTTCTGTGCATTTGGAAAAGGGTCAAACATTTTGAGAACTGTTTGATGACATCTGAATTGACAGTTGTACCCCCAAACTTGAAGCATTGTTATGGCCTTTCTATTAGAATAAAGGCCTACAGAGACAAGCTTATAAATGGAGTCCTGAGAAACAGCTGACTTCTTAGGGGCCCACCGATTCTTCAGATCTGTTAAGCGGTTACTTCCCCAGTCCCTGAAAGCATAACTGAGACTAACAACACAAAATAATTGGTACAAGCCTCACATTGGGTTGTTGGCCTGTGAGAGAAAAGTAATCATATTATAGAGGGGGGCAAGTAGAAGCATCTGAAACTGTTCCCCAAAGTCATCCAAGACAATAAATCAACAACATTATGATATATCCCAAAGCAGATGGTGAAAATTAGTGCCACTCCCTTTAGAATTTAGCAGATGCACAGGTATTGGGTCATATCAGCAACTCTGCTGTTTGGGCCGTATAACATGGTAGACCCTATGGTACCAAAGTTATTGATGGTGGGTAAAGATAATCCATGGAGCTCCTGGCAAGCCCAAGTGGGAGAAATCACACACCTGTCCCTGAGGTTTTGAAACAAAGCCATGCAATCTGCCTTTGAAAAACAGGTCATGGCATCCCCTAGTAGAGATGGAGCACCTCATGATGGGATACCAGTTGATTGATCATTTATCCATAAATGCTCATGATGAGCAGAGTTTGTCAAATCTGTTATTATCATGAACTTGGTTGGGCCTAGCAGCAATCCATCGTAACATAGAACTGGTAAATTCAGACTTGACCATGAACACCATCAGAAGTTTGAGCAGAGAGCCAGCCCTCCATGTTATCCACCAATGTTGAGCAGTGCCTCTTCTTGGGCTCAAACCTGTGACTGGCTGATAAAGAAGGAAAAGAACCTAAACTTGGTTTCTGAATGGGTGAGTTGAATATGTGAATATAAACTGAAAATGGATGGCAGTTGTTTTCCATTACTAGGAGTGGCCTTAAAAAGGGGTGGTGATAAATAATTTCCCCAATGGACAAAGCTTTGGCATTATCCATATGTCTATGCACATGACTTTACCCTAGACCTACTTCTCTAAATCTTTCAGTCTTTCTTCTTCTAGGCTCTGCACAGCCCGCTCATTTGCCACTGCCCTGAATCTGTTTTAGGCTGATCTCAGACCATTTTTCCGTCCTTACAAATAAGATGAAATTTCATCTTAGAAATCAGACCCTAATAACAAACTAAAAAGTGTTTAACTTTCCATCTCTGAGTCATCTAATTCATATAACCAACTGTGGGCAAAGCTTGCTTCTGCAGGCAATGAACGGATTGTTAGGATCGTTACTGTAATGGCTAGCTTCTACCGTCTGTCCTTTTGTAACCATGGGTATTTGTAGATAGTATATTACTGCAATATTAAAACTAAAGTAATAAATAACTGCAGAATGATCATTGACAAGTTTGACTAGCATATGAATAGTGTCAATATTATCTTTCTTCTAACTAAATGAGTTTTACAGCATCATCGTTTTTCTTAACTAGCCAATTCTTAACTTCTTTTTTCTTAACATCGTTTTTCTTAACTTCCCAATTTCTTACTGGTCTTTTATAGTTATTTTATGTGTTTTCTTTTCTAAAATATTTTTATCCCTCTTTTTTAGAAAGATTATTTTTTAACGGATATTACAATATCTATGAGAACATAAATAATATTTGATTAATTGTATAATTATTTTGCAGTTTCCTTAACTCTATCTTTCAAGACAAATAGACTGGTAAAATTCTGGATTGTTGAACAAATACAGTGGCCATCCATTAGTATATCAAAAACATGTCAAACATGTATTCAACTTGTAGATGCAGCTTGTGTTTTAATTAAGTCTCAGTTACTGTTTCTGAACTACATTTGGTTAATACTTTCTGTTTGTGATTGACCTCTAATTAATCATTTCTTTAAATTCAAAAGTAATTTTCAGAGAACATTTCTTGATATTTTAAAGATTTATTTCACAGAACTGTGTATTCCATTACCACTATGACAAAAAAAATGTGAAAATTTTTACCTTGTTATAGATAATAAAAATCAATATTATCAATGCTTTAGAAAATAATATTTCAAAGGCTACTGAACCAGCCATAGCATTTAAAAATAAACAACATAAGGCTAAGTGTGGTGGCTCACACCTGTAAGCTCAGAACTTTGGGAAGCCAAGGTGCGAGGATCCCTTGAAGCCAGGAGTTAAAGAGCAGCGTAGGCCACATAGTGAGACCTCATCTTTACACAAAACAAAACAAAAATTAGCATCATGTGTGGTACATGCCTATAGTCCCAGCTACTTGGGAGACTGAGGAGGATTTCTTGAGCCCAGTGAGCTGTGATTATACCACTGCACTGTAGTATGGGCAACAGAGACCTTGTCTCTAAAAAAATAAAATAAACAAAATAAGCATTTAGGGGTTATATTTTTTCTTTTTCTTTCTTTCTTTTTTTTTAGAGACAGAGTCTCACTTTGTCACCCTTGGTAGAGTGCCATGGCTCCAGCTCTTGGGCTTACGTGATCCTTTTGCCTCAGCCTCCCAAGTAGCTAGGACTATAGGCACCCGCCACAATGCCCTGCTATTTTTGTTGTTGTTGCAGTTTGGCCAGGGCCAGGTTTGAACCCACCACCCTCAGCATATGGGGCTGGCACCGTACTCACTGAGCCACAGGCACCACCCAGTGTTATATGTTTTCAAATGAACATTTTGGAAGCAATGGTTAATTATTTAAAAAATAAAGCAGGCTTTGAAAAACAGATCCTTTATGGGTGATTGCATCAAGGAATTTGGTAGTACTTATAAAATATAAGTTTCTTATAAATAAAACAGTAAAACCATTATAAATGTGGCATAGCTTATAGTATTATATTTTATTTTAATTTCATATATAAGAACTCCTTTAAGAGAAAAAAATGAAAAAGAAAACCACTGTCTAGATTTTCTCAACAATTTGAGATAATTATGAGTGCAAGGAAAATGCAAAAAATATACAAATACTTTGAAATAATTGTTGCATGTTAAATATTATCAAGCAACATATTTGAAAACAGTGACTCAAAACAGGCAAAATCTATTTCCTTAAGTTTAAAATGTAAAAAATATCAGTGAAAAATAAGATAGTAGGGCTGTAAAATTATTCATAATTTATAACATCTTGAACATACTTATTATGACACCCATGTTTTAAATTTTACAAGTAATGGGAACACTTCCTTAAAGTACAGTAAATTAGTCATAAACAAGCAGGCAAATGACAACAGAGAATTTTATACACATTTGTAGAGAATGTATATATGCTTTTATGTTCTACATATAATTTTCTACATCTTTAATATTTAATATTTAAATATTTTCTGATAGTAATCAAAAATATTTTTTCACAACTGAACTCCTTCTAACATTAAAGATAGCTCTGTACTTTTCGCATTTAAAGAGTGAGATCCAGTTTGTCTTGATAGCTGACTACATTTTTGTCTAATTTTTCGTATATAATTATTGTACCTTTTAGACAAACAAAGTTTAGTTGTACCACGAATGGCAGTAAGATTTAAATCCTCTGAAAGTAAAGTATTAGATCTCTTGTCTTCTCCTATTTTCATATCAAGAGTCTTTTCTGGAATGTGGTTAATACGTTTACAGCCTGTGGTCTTCTTCTGGCTTTGACCAGTTTGGTATTCTTCCCTGATGTGTGAGCTTTCCATTCCAGTGGGACATAAAATATTCTTATATCCAATAGGAGGAAGTAATGTTTGAGATGATGTTTTCCCAAATGATCTAGCGGGTAAATCTTGAAAATACCTTGGGAAATGTTGACTAATTTTATATTTATAAAGTAATTTTCTTGAATCTGAATCATCTAATTGGATAGAGCATAGATCTTCTACTGTTACATTCTGACAGGTATTTGTTGGAATCTGAGGTTTATTCAGTTTCTTGGAATTAAGTTGAGATATGCTGGGCAAAATTCCAGGTTTATTTTGTTTTAAGATTAATCCAGTGCCAGGAATAAAAAGTTGTGATTCTTCCTGCTTTGATGAATGAGTGATGTCTATGTTCAAAGCAGACTGTTGGTTTTGTCCATTCTTTCTTGTATTGTTCCAGATTAAAGGGTTATATATAACTTGCCCATCAACAGGACATGAATTGCACTTGTGGAATAACCAATTGTCAATACATTTCCTATGAAACTTAAAAAAATTATAAGTTAATCAGAACTATTATATAATGTCTTATTTATAACATATATTATTTATATAATTTTCCCCAAGTTTCATAATTGTGTGATTATTAAAACTAGCAAAAATAGAAGATAATATTTTGAAGAAGTTCACTTCCAAATAAAATTGTTTAAGAACTGATCTCCATTTTAATATTAAAATGTAAAGCACTTTTATTGATATCACTTTTATAAATTTAACTAATAGTCATTAGCTATTAATTTCATTGCTGTCTAATTATTTCTGAGTAAAAATTAATTAAAAAACTTAAAAAGCCATAACTAACTAGAGTTGAAAATGAATTTGATAACAGTAAGATAGAAAATAACAAATAATATATTTGCAAATAAAATAAGCAGCCATTTTAAGTAAGGGTGACTCTAAAGCTATAAATGCTTAGTTATTGAAACAACTTCATTTCAGAAAAACTTTGTTATAGATCAAACAGTTTTAGACTGCTTCTAGTTAGTTCAGATGACATAATAAACTAGAATGCCAATTGAGGCATTTCTATTTCCTCTAAAGAATCATAAAACACACAGAAAAACATTAATATTTTATAAGCCTTTTCTCTCCACAGATAACTAAAGTACATGAAAGAATCTAACTTAAAGTGCCATCTTATCTTTCCTAGGCAGTTATATAGAAAGAAATGAATCCTAATCAATAGGGGGGCAGAATCTGCCTTCTCAATAGTCTCTTCAGCAACTCTTCTGCCTATATTGTGCAAATTGAACATCTCTGTATGTAGTATAACTAAAAAGTGAAAAAAGAGTCTTCCGTTCTCACTTCATTTGTTTAAACTGACCCTACAAGGGAAGTCAAACTAAAATGATGTGACCTTTACCTTGTGGGTACACGGTAGCCATCTTATATATTGACCAAGATGAAATGCCTTCAAACAAAGTCGACACTGGTAGCCTGGAGCACGTAGCCTACTATTCTTTGTAATCAGTCTGAGAGGCAGTGACTTCACAGCATGTTTTGGTGTGTAAACCTGGCTGAATGAGAATAAGCAGAGAGACATGAATGTTCATATGTTACCAGGATATAATCAATAGCATAGGCAAATAACCTTTACATAAATAATGTAACTGAACCCAAGTTTTTCTTCAATCAAAGATAATAAATCTCATACGTTATAAAGTTTAAAAATCTACTCTATTGATCCTGAGCAAAATGGATCAAACTTTATAAAGAACAAAATTTTAGTCATAGCAAATAAAACTACAAACTTGAAATTTTCGATTTGTACTTTAATGTCAATAAAACCAGACTAAATTTTGATGAGAACCACATCCTCAACTTATTTCAGGCTAAGGCAAGATTGAGGCATGTATTTAGAGAAATACCACCCAATTTGCTCTGTCATCTGATAGAAAATGAAGTATATAGTAACTATATAAGTATATAGTAAGCCACATTAAATATCTCCGGCTACTATAAATTGGCAGATCATAATCTCAGAGGAAGTTTGTTTTCCTGTGGGATATAGACTTCAGCTTCAATATTATTAGACTGTACTAATATAACTCTAAAAGTACCAATCCACTTTCTCACCAAAAGTACTGACCAATATAACTAAGAAGACAGAATGTGAATTAACCGCTATTTAATGCCATTAGCAACTGGCAATACAGATAAATATTAAAAACAAAAGCTTGGTTTAAGGTCAGATGTATTCCTAATACACGTGTACAAAAGTCATTCGAAACAAAGTACAGATATGTTTTTTAGAAAAGTTCATTCCTCTTGTTACTCTACAGCTATATCCCTATCATACTCTAATTTCAATTAAAAATGTATATTTTTAGGATTCATTTAAGGTTGTTACCCCCTTTTTTTAAATCTTGAAACTCTCTCCTTTATTTATTCCATTGTCTATGTCTAGAATTTCCTTCCCAGCTCCTTTCTCCTTAATATCTCTGCAAGGAGAGGATGGACACAGAGAGGTAAGACAGTCTTAATCAGAAGAACTTGGGAGGTGCCTTAAACCTGGGTTAAAAGGCAGCTTCCCTTACAATCTAGTAGCTTATGTAGCCTGCTGAGGCAGGAAAGCCCACATAGGGCAGAGTTTGTGACCTGTCTGGAGAGATTTCTGAGAAATGGCCCTCACCCTACAAATCAAAACTCAAGTACTGTGAAGAGAGCCCTACATTGTACGTCATCCCACAGTAGCCTGCCTCCCTCAATCTTTTAAATCTATTCCTTAGTTATGTAATTTATCATTCCAAGAGGATGACATGTAATACCCAACCAGGGAAAATGGAGTTTTAGAGGCTTTGTATAGGTTTATTTTATGCCCACAAAAGTTATGATCTGAATTATGTGCAAGAGTACCCCCAGGGCATGGGCTAAGTATCCAATGAGGTTTGGATAGAAACTTACATATATGTGTGTATGCATAGGTCTGTGTGGGGTGTGGATGTGGGTGTATTATATATACCCATATGTATTTAGTTAGAACAAGCACAATTTTCGTTTAGTTAACTCACTGAATTTTTTTTTGTTTGTTTCAAATTCATCCTGTTCTTTTAAAATGGAATCTTTTTCATATGTTTTATAAAGTACATAATCTTTTAATAATACATAGTATGTTTAATTTTCTTTAATTGAAAAGGAGGGCATACAGCAAGAGGCCTGGAGGCCTATCCACTAGTAAGCAGTTCAGTCAATGTTATGAAGTATGACCGATCTGCTAAGCACTCTTTCTCCTGAGGGGTGGGGAGTAGGAGATAGAAGGAGAGGGAAAATGAAGCAGAAAAGACTTCCTTCCTCCAGAGATAGTTATTTCAAAGCAAATCTCGAATCTCCCTTTTCTTTATATGTGTATAACTTATGTCATTTTCAATTTCAGATTTATTTAGATAATTATTTAATTACTGAGGAAACTGCTATATCCTCTATTACCTAGTACAATCTCTGATAAAACTAATAGTAATGATAGATAACATTATTTGACTCATTTCACACTCATAAAATTCTTATGAGGTTGATTTTATAAATATCTCCATCTTAAAGATGAGGAAAAAGTGGCAGTTGTGGCAAAGAGAAATGAAATAATTAGCTGAAAAGTCAACATGTGGTTGACTAGGATTGTATTCAGGCAGGCGGACTCCAGAGCCTTGCTTTTCATTGCATGCTGGACCCAAGGATGTGGATATTCAATAAATATTTACTGAATAAGGAAATGAATAGAACTTATTAAAACTGAAAAGTTATTCAAAGATCCCAAGTCATGGAAAACATATAAATTCTTCTGAGAATCTCACCCTTGCTTTTCTTGAAAATGTGGCATCTTTTCTTCTATCTCATTTTCAGAATCTACGTATTTTTCATCTGATCTTTTTTCCAGTAATCTCCATCTTTGGTTTCTCTTCTATAAAATGTAAAAAGTAGATGTAACATTGAAAATAATAGAATTTTTATTTTATGGATTAAAATTAATAGGTTGCATAACAAAACATAATATAAATAGTACTTATTTTTAACATGCCTATTATTATTATTTTTTTTTTTTTGCCATGCCTATTATTTTTACTATGTTAATGTATTTACAAATTATTCGTCTCAGATACTGCATAGGTATGATAATGGCATTATTTTTAAAGGTAAAAATATTAATGATAATTATGGATTTGCAAATTTTATCTTGTACGGTAAGAAGAAAGTATCATTATTATTTAGCATCAGGAGATACTTTTTAAGTGTACACTTCAAATAACTTCAATGAAATTCTATGCTTCATTATTGTTGATTTTAAGAGAAAACCATAAATGTTTTGGTATTTTATAATAAGCTGATTTATAATGTTGAGACCTTTTTAAAACTGATTTTTAAGTTTGATGGCTATAATTCCTGTTCTTAAGATTTATTTATACTGTCATCAGATCTTTTCTATTTGTACTGGATTTTACAAATTACCCATATGATAACTGATTGCCTTTGTACATCCCTATGAGAAAGAGTTCTCCTAAAAATATGGTTTTCAGGGCCAGGCATGGTGGCTCACACCTAAAATCCTAGCACTCTGGGAAGCTGAGGCAGGAAGATCGCTTGAGCTTAGGAGTTTGTGACCAACCCGAACAAGAGTGAGACGCCATCTCTACTAAAAAGTAGAAAAAACTAGCTGGCTTTTGAGGCAAGTACTTGTAGTTCTAGCTGCTGGGGAGGTTGAAGCAAGGGGATAGCTTGAGCCCAAGAGTTTGAGATTGCTGTGAGCTATGACACCAGGGCACTCTACCCAGGGTGACAGAGATACTCTGTCTCAAAAAAGAAAAATGTTTTTAAATTAATAACCAATCAGGTATGTTCCAGTGTGTTATCTATTCTTATTCTTAGATTTACCTAGCTTTACAGCAGGACAAATACAAACACCATATTAGATTCAAAATGGATACTGTACCTCCCGAAATGTAAATGTGTGAGAAAGATGGCAGCTGCTATGAAAACATTGCTGGCATAAGTGATATTCTATACACTCGGTGCACCTGAAAATGCAAAACACCAAATATGCAAGAGACAAATCCAATAATTACAAAATTATTGTAATGATTTGGGGTGATAATTCAGACGAAAATTACACTAGGAACTATCCAAATACAAGCCTCATCTCAAATTACACTGTGTATTAGTTTTCTAATGCTACTGTAAAATATTACCACAGATTTATCAGCTTAAGCAACAAAAAATTATCTTACACTTCTGTAGGCTAGAAATCTGCCATGGGGCTAAAACCAAGGGGTTGATAAGGCTGTGTTACTTTTTGGAGACTCTAAGGGAGAATCCATTTCCTTGTTCTCCTTTCCACTTGGCTAAATTTCTTAGTTTATGATCTTTTCCTACTTTTAAAGCAAGGAATATAGCATCTATCTATCTATCTGCCTTTTGTCCATAGCCACATTCCCCTCTTACTTTCTTGTCCCTCTCTTCCACTTTTAAGGCTTCTTGTGATTACACTGGATCTATCCAAGGAATCCAAGATAATAACTTTATTTCAAGGTCAGCTGATTAGAAACCTTAATTTCATCTGCAACCTTACATCCAGGTTCTGGACCTAAGCATGTGGATATATTAGGGAGAGCCATTATTTTGCTCATCACATGCCCCTTCCATGATGCTTTCTCAGAATAGCTTGTCTTTTATTTATCTCTTCTCTAAATTCCTATAGGATCTACAGCTTATTATGTATTCTGTCATTGATTATTCTGTGTTGCTTTCCAATTGTTTCATGACTGCTAGAGGGTTTATCATTATACTTCTTGAAAACAGAAATTGTATTTTCACTACTACCCCACAGAATGGAAAAAAAATACACAAAATGTCTCAATTAAAGCTATTGATAAGTTACACCAAAGCACTTCCCACAAAAGCACTTTCCATGTTAAGCTTACATCATTTATATAAATTTTGCTACAAGCAGAGAATTTTAATTTAATTGCAACAAAGTTTACCAAACAAACAATATTCTGAGCAGTAGTCAAATAAATGTATTTTCTTATTCAAATTATCAAAGATTTAGAAGACTATTTCCAAGAGGAATTTGAGAAAATATGTTCCTCAGATATCTTAGAAGAGGCAAGTGCTAATTTATTCATTGTTACTATTTGTACATAGAAGGAAGATTCTTAATAATTATCATTAATGAGTTAGCACAGTGGTGCAATTTATTCAATTCACACACCAGAGTATGGTGGGCTAGAAAAAGTCTAACTTCTCTCTATATGAGGCTGTCCATAAAGTATCCAGCTAGGTATGTCTCTATTTTTCATGGCACATGGTTGGATACTTTCTGGACAGCCCTAATATATCTAACATTTTTGGAATTAACCTTTAAAAAGATGAAGTAGCTAACTTATGAAGCTCTAATGAAAAAGAACTCAAGCCAGGCCTAGTGCTTATGCTTGTAATCCCAGTAACTCTGAAGGCTGAGGTGGGATGATCTCTTGAATTTAGAAGTCTGAGGCTGTAATGAACTGTGATCCCACCACTGAACTCTAGCCTAGGTAACAGAGATATTTCTAAAAAAAGAAATAATAATAATTTAGAAGCTCCCTAGTTTATCTTGTCTCTTATTCAATCTTCTCCTAAATTATTGGAAATAGTTTTCAGGCTGATTGATGACTGTAATGCCAGTATTCAAGGGACTAGAGGAGAATGGAGTCATAAGTGTTGAAAATATATTATTTTACTTATAAAAGAGGGTTGTGACAGAGATTAGTAATTGTTAGTTAAGTCCACTGAAGAGAAGTTATGAAAGAGAAGATATTCTCAAATGAATATTCTCAAATGAGAATATAGATAGGGAACACAATAGTAGAGAATGTATTTACTTTGAGATGGCTGGAAGAATAATCCACCAGGCAAAGAGAGCAGTGCCAGAGGAGTATGCTGTCATCAACAAAGTTCTTAACAGTTAGATCTGACCATCTCTAAGATAATCTACTGAAGCCACATATTAAATGTTTGAGGAATACATTACTGTAAGGGCTGAGAATTTTAAACTGTGGTCCTTGTATGCCCTTGTCCTTCACAGCTATTACTCCTAGCTCCACTTTTAACATGAGACCTTAGCCCCTTACTGTTCCTCTCCACTCCTCTTGAGAAAATTTAAATTATTTTTTTCTTTAATGATGGCTGCTGATATAAAAGATCAAGTCCTTCCTTTTCTTAGAACCCTTTAACTGACGTTCCTGAAACTAGCTGAACACCTCCTGCTAAACATCTATAAAAATCCTGCTCTTTCTCCTCTAGTTAAAATTCTCCTTTGGAGCCTTCTCAGGCCATCCATTCTTAAAGCCTGTCCTTAACAATTTTCTTTTGTGTAATTCACACAGGAAACAAGACTGAATTCAAAGGAGAAAGTATAATTTGCTTTTGGAGGCTATAAAAAAGTTCTTTGGTTTTATGAGGGAGTTTTACAAATATATGTCTAAAACTTAATTTTGGCTCATCATAATGTAATTTCAGAAAAATTAGAAGTAAACTGATATATTTTAGAAAAAAAATTTTTTTTGCAATTTTTGCCTGGGGCTGGGTTTGAACCCACCACCTCTGGCACCCTATTCCTTTGAGCCACAGGTGGCGCCCTTAGAAAAATTTTTAAAAGACATTGAAGCAAGATATTTTCTTTTTAATGTACTATTAACTTAAAATTTTAACTAAGAAAATATAATTTCCCAAGAATAGAAATTAATACTTTATTGTAAAAATTATGCTAAGTTTGGTGGTTACTCACAAAAGTCATGAAAATTGTTTGCTCTAATAATTATACTTTTTCTGTTGTTGTTGATGTATTAGACATGAAAGAAAACAAAACCCACACTGACAGCAATTTGAAGTAGGGGGTGGAGAAGTGTGGGAAGGTGGCTGACTAGAAGCAGCTTTCTCCAGAGGCTCGTGCCCAAAGGGAGAGATATTGGACTGAAGTGGATGGAAGCTGAATGAGAGGGGCTCTGCACTGAGAGGACTGTATGAGGTACTGTGAGAGCCAAACTAACTCAAATCAAACTATCTCCTTTTTGTTAGGAGAAAACAACAGGCCGCCACATACCAAGGACATTATTGCATACCTGGGTGTTGGGCAAGCCCCCTTGTGCACTCAGCCCACATCCTGACCCTCTCCCCTCTTTGCACTTGTCACTCTACTACGCACATGCCCCACTTGCCCCCTTTGCACGTTTATCCCTTTCTTCTCATTTGCTCACCTGAGACAAAGAGAATTTGTCCCTGAGCCAGTCATCTCAGAACACGACCACCCTGTACCTGTCAGTTTGGGACAGACATGGTTTACCTACCTACCAATAACGGGATGGAGTGGGATGGTCAAATGGGAGGGAAGAGGGAGGGGTATAAAAGGACTTTCTGGATAGTCTGTAAGGGCTGTTCCTGCTTTTTCTTAAAGGGGCAGCCCAGGCTCTGAGCTTGAATAAAACTCATGATTTTTCAGTGATGTTCGGACTCTCAGAGTGGTGCTTGAATTGAGTCTGGGGGCTTACATTTGGGGGCTTGTCCGGGATTCTAGCTCCTCTGAGAGACCCTCAACATCTAAGGGACATTGATTGGTGAGATTTGTCCGCTTGTAAGCTGTCTAGTGTCATTTTTGTGGTCTGTCTCTGTATCTGTGTTTGTGGGTCATGGCTGAACGGGGAGGTGGATGCGCCATGGCCCTGAGCTGTGAAGGGGGGGAGAGGATATGTCTTCTCCTACTACATATACGTTTTCCAGGGACCAGTTTGGAGGCAGGTGACAAGATGTTCTGGGAAGGAAGCCCAGTGCGTGGTAAGATCCTCCTACTCGGTCAGGGCCAGTGTGGGTTCGAGTCCCCCTGGACAGTGTGCTTGTATAAAGTGCTTAAGTGTGAGTTTTTTTGTTAACTTACTTTCTCCTTTCTGTTTGCATTTTAAGAACTGTCCACTGCTTTTCCTTCTTTGATGCCTTAACCCATATATGACACTATGTAAAACTTGCCAATTAAACCTACACGGGGTCTGCTTACCTTACTTGTGTTCGAACTGCAGGTTTCAGTGTTTCACCTGGTGTCTCTGTGAGGACTGGTCGAGACCTCGGTCCCTCAACCCTGAACACTATTTTGAGTGGATCACAGACCAATTCCTTCAGGGGACTCTTTCTGATTTCAACCTGGATGAAATCGCAGTCTTGGCTTTCCTTTTCTACTTTTTACTCTAACACTGTCTATCTACCTTGATCTTGTCCCCAACCCCCTAAATCTCATGTTTTCTTTACATGACCTAACAAAAGGAACTCCATTTGCCTGGTCATGGAAGCAAGTTGCGAGATCCGTGGGAAAGAGAGCCCAACGAATAGTAAGGTTTGCATACCCAGAGGAAGAGTGTTTGTTTTGTTAAGCAAAGGTCTGCTGTTGCTCCATGTGTTCTAGTATACCTGGAACCCTTTATCATTCTGAATACTCATGGCATTTATCCAAAAGGTGTAGCAGTGAGGGCTGTCACGTGGAACACCCCATTGGGATGGTTAGCTGGTCCTGTCTCCCGTGCTCCCTTTACTCGGTAACTATGTGGTGGGTGCAAAACACCAACCCTGCAGAGTGTCTTGCCCATCTATTTTTCCATCACCTCCAGGTGGTCGAACCAGAATTTGAGGGACTGGATACAATCCTACAACTTTTGTCAGCCTACACAGGGGTCCCTCATCACCTAGCCAAATTTTCCTTTATACCAGGGCTAGATCTCCATCCCCACCAGGGAAGAAGGCAGCCCAAACAATACAAGCGCAAACCCCCTAACCTGTGTAGATGCACCACCACCACCCCACCATTGGGAATAGTTGTGGGGTGGCTCTAAGATTTGGCTTTCCTTAGTCTTATTGGCCCAGCTTTCTGGCCACTTGTTCATCAGCTTCTTAAAGATTGGGGCCAAACCTTTGCTTATACCATACGCCTCCTATGCCAAAAGAGATTAATCTAGATCTAAGCCCACCCCCTTTATGGGTATTTGGGAAGCAGACTTTC